ACACACACACACACACACACACACACACACACACACACACACACACACCTCTTTACCAGTCGGGCCACAGTTCCAGCCTTCCCTATTTTATTTTGGGGCAGGGTCTTGCTAAGTTGTTCAGACTGAACTTGAACTTGAGAGCCCCCTGCTTCAATGTCTCAAATAGTACAGGCATAAGCCAGCACACCTGGCAACGCTCACATGTGAAGTTTCTTTAAAAATCATTCATTAGGTTAATAGGTCTGTATGCAATCTCACTAGTGCCTCGTTTTGGAGTCTGTTGGTGGAGGGCCCCGAAAGTCCCCGTCCCCGTGGGTACCCCACTGCTGACTCCACCGCCTGCCACTCTCATCACCCGCCCTGATGGAGAATTCAGTTTGCTTTTAGGTTCCAGAAAGACACAGGCTCTGCAGACCAAGTAAGGACTGTTACTATTTGAAGTTCAAATGTGTCTTCAAAAATTGTATTTGAAGACACCAAAGTTTGGGACTTCGATGAACTAGCACCTGTTATTCTTCCCAGCATTTTTTTTTTTTTTGATCTTTTGTATTTTCCTCTCTGCTTTCCAAATCACAGAATGATTACTCCAGGTCATTTAACATCCTTACCCAAATCCGTTCATTCTTCTCCTGGGGAACGTATGGGTTTGTGGTACTCGTTTATTCTATGCTTGATGCAGCACCTGGCCAAAAAAGATACAAACCTGTAAGCCTTCCAAAAGTAAATATGAAGATGCTGGGAAAATAGCCGCTAATGCAGGATTGTTAAGTAATTGCCAGTTAAGGATGCATTGGTCCTCTCTGTGCTGCAAAGTGGGCGGAGACCTTACAGGCATTGGTCCTGACATTCCATCTCAGCTACATAATCCTCACCAGCAAACTGAAGCACTTAATTCTTCTAAACTATATAACACTGCCTCTTCAAAACCCAATACATCCATGTCCACTTTGCTGTAGTTAAAAAAAAAAAAATTACAACCACATTTGTGAATGTCACGTTTCTTGAACTACATAATTTTAATATCACTTGTGTAGGCTTTATAGTTTGTTTTATTGTTTTAAAAGTCATTTGGGGCTCTAAAAGAACTCAATTTTTCCAAAG